CTTATTGGCGTCCTCCGTATCCACGCGCGAACTGAAGTTGAAGAATTTCCGGGTGGGACTTCGTCTCCCTTTGTCCTGACGAGAGCGTGCCTCTCTTGCAGCAATCCTGAGAAAGAGCGGTTGCTCACCGCGGGACCTAGAGACAACATCTGGTGCGTCCAGGATTCCAATCCTAGGCATGCTGGGCGTAGGTCTCTTCTGCTTTCTAGACCCATGGGCGGGATCCGTGAGCCTTGTTTGTCTCTTCATCCGAGGGCGTTTGGGCGCATGAGCTGAGCGCATGCTATCACCCTCCGACGTCGGCCGTTTCTTTCCTGGCTGCCGGGTCTTGGTTGAGGGGGCACGAGGTGCTGGTGGGAGCATGTAATCAATCCGATTGTCTTCCGGGATGTCCTCTCCGAAGTCATTGTCATCGAACGGTTCAAGCCCAAGGTTAGCTAGTAGTTGACGGGAATTGACCGTATCGTCCCCGTCGTCGGCCTCATCTTCATCACCAGATTCTGGATCAGCAAGCTGTCTTAGTGAGGAAAGATTCGCGTTTGAGCCCGATGCCATTGCTGCACTGTTGCTTTTCGTGATTTTACGTGCAACGCCCTTTGCATTTTCCGTCCTGGAATGCATCCTTTCGCGCTGTCGCTGCGTAGCACTCAAGCGTCCTTCTTGTTGTTTTTGATCCAATCTCAGCCATGACGCCGGTAATACCCCTTTGATTCGACGCTGATAGAGTCTGACATCAAAGTCCTCGTTTTCGCTTTCAACTGCGCTTGCATCCTCGGCGTCAGAGTTTGACTGCGTGGGATTCGCTTCCAGATGAGCATCAACAGGTCCACCATCCTCTTCACCTCCAGACCAGTCCATCCCATCCTCCTCTTGAGCTATAGCCCCCTGCCCTGGTTTTACATTGGTAGTCACTGATGGTGGGGTATAACCACGAGGGAATCGAAAAACGTTGGAGGGTCCTGTGGCGGGCGAAGAAGTAACATTCTCTTCCGAACGGGGTGGGCTTGGAACACCGAAGACCGGTGCATTATTTTGACGCATGGGAGATGAATTCACGATTACTACACTTGGTCGTTGCAGATTTCGCGAAGGAGGCCGACGCTCGTGATGAGGCCTTGACACCTTGCGCCTTTTCGGTTGCCGCTCTAGCACGCCAGCTGGAGAGCGACCTAATTGTGGAGAACCATGTTGTAGCGCAGGTTTTGGGGAGTTCCTAGACAAACGTTTTTCTGAAGGACGAGTCTCTATCGGTGATGAGGGTTGAAACTCAAATTCTGCTCCAAAGCTGTCGGACATGGGCTCAGCGGCGTCAACGTATTCTTTGCCTTGGCTCTCATCGCCTGTAGCCCGAGTCAATTCCGGCTGCGTCACTCGTACAGGCTTGACGCCTCCTGCGCGCATCATATTCCGATACTTGGCGTCTTCCAACATATAAGGATGCAACTGGATAGCTTTACGCTCTCGTAATGACCTCCGCGCCGGCGGTGACATTTCCCGCAGTATTTCCTCTGGGAGATCGAGCGGAGGGAGCAATTCCTCAATAAAATCGTTCGTTGGCTGCTCTGCTTGTTCTGATTTCTCCTGGTCACCTTGGTCATCCTCCTCAAAGCGAAGGGAGTCCAGAGACGACAGAGGGGATGAAGGAGTCGAAAGATCATAGTTCCCTTCAACTTGCCGCGGTTGACTGTCGGGCTTATTCCTTGAGTACACATGGAGCGGTCTCCTAAACGGTCGATAGTCGAATTGCAGCTCGTCTTCTGAACTTGGGAAATCCCATATACTGTCGTGCTCCTTGGCTCGTGGGGTAGGTGGTGCGCTACCATTAGTTGTATTCGAAGCTTGCGCAGGGAGTCGAGAGTTATCCTTTTCCTTGGCACGGGGAGTCTCCTCATCCTCAGCGGGTCCAGGCGACGGTTCCTCATCAGCAGTCGTCGGTCTAGCATTAACTATTTCTGCAGGTTTCATTGGCAGGAGAGAATCGTCAATTTTCTCTTTGGCACGAGGAGTTACCTCATCTTTAGAGAGTCCGTGCAACGATTCCTCAGATTTGTCGTCCTCGTCGACGGACTTTGACCGATTGTTAGCTATTCCCGAAGATTGTGTAGGCATGTGAGGGTCTTCAGTATTCTCCTCAGCACGAGGTGTCTCCTTGTCCTCGAGAAGCCCGGGCAATTGTTTCTGGGCTTTGCTGCTCTCATTGGCAGCCTCAGTCGGTGCCGTAGAAGGCCCGTCAGGGTATTCTGTTGGCCTAGGGGCACCATTAAAATTCACAGGAAGAGTCACAGGACGGTCACATTCGACTTTGCTGTCCTGAGAGGTATTTGCTTGCACCTCATGTTGTGCTTCATCCCGTTGATCCAGGGCAGTAGTTTCCTCCACGATAACTGCAACTGCGCCACCAATATTTGCGACCGAATCTTCGACAGCATTGTTCAAGTTTCCTGTCTCTTGGCTGTCGAGTCCGTCCTCCGAGTCCGAGTCCGGTACGAACCCTCGCGCCCGCCATGATTCCATTTGTATCCTAGGCGCGGATGGCCCATCTCCCTAGATATTCATCACCTCGTAACGGCGGCAGGGCCCGAGATACTGCGCACGATAATCTATAGGGACAGACGCGGACGAAAAATTGCACAAGGATCGGACCAGTCAGTTGGGGGTCGTGCCAGGGGTCCAGGTCCACCGGGATTGGTAGTGAAAGTTGAGCGGGTTAATTGACGCAGTGGTTGCTGGTCGATGCGACGCGTCGAAAATGTGGGGGACGCGATGGGGCTTAAACGGCAGATGGGCTGGCGCAAATTTGGCGATTGCCCAGCGGGCGGTCCGGCCGGAGCTTGGCCCAGCGAAGCTCTTTCAATTAACGCTACGGCAATCATTGCTCGCTCAATCTCTCGCGCAGAAACTTTCCGAGCAGCCACTGGCTAGTCTACATCATCATCATGAGTCGCAATTGGATTCCGGCCCTTATGGCCATTGGCATGGGTGTCTGGACTGGTAGGTGTTGGGGATACCCACGCTCACTCTTATGAGCATGTGATTGCCATCAGCTTGCTAATTGTTACGTTTTCCGGGTCTGCAGGATACTATACCTTCCAGCCTGCATTGCGAGAATTACAGACGGAGAAGACGGGTCCTCAGTAAGGCCGACCTCTCAAGTCAAACGTCTTGCATGCCGTTCTTTGCTGACCGGAATGCATCACCGATAGGACTCTGCCGTCGCAAGACCAAAAGATCGCTCCCACACCCACTCCCAGCTCAGATAAGGATTCAAGCAAGCCAGTGACCCAGCCCAGCGAAGCAAAGGCCCCCGAGGTTCAAAAGAGCTAGCTTGCAGATGAATAAGCCGCTTTGTGATGCATACACCGCAACGCCGCTGGTCGGTGATATATAGCCAGAACATCGAAGGCATGGGTCCTTTTGCGAGTTCATGATTGTCTGGAATAGAGAATGAGTAATGGAGCCCGCACTGACTCCTCAGTAACTGCTAGCGGTGACTGGGAGAAATTGTCTTACATGGGCTGCAGTGGGATTACAAACACAGGCAGATTATGTGCAGCTCGAGTATAGCACGAGCTTCCACCACTGTCTCTGTGACTCCACAGCTCATGACCATCCATGGCCAGTAACTTAGAACAGCCATATGAAAATATAACAACGTCCTGTATCTCTACACTACCTTCCATGATCACTGAATGGAAAACAGCTATATAAATGATCCACTCTGTAAATGTACATACTTAACCCTAGTATTATAGAAGCCTATACCCTCCCTAGAAACCTATTTCAAACGCCCAGCTCCAGATGCGCCCATCTTTCCATTCTAGCCAGTTATACCTCTTGCACGAGCTTGCCCGAGCCATTGCCATCAAAGACACGTCCTGCAGGTATACCGAGCCATTCTTCTGGCACACCTACTCGGCTGCCTTCGCGGCCACTTACCCACCTCACCATCGTCGGGTCCGGTTTCTCGGGTTCCGCGACCTCCTGCTCTGCAGAAGCTGCTTCGGCTGTCTCTGCAGCTGGAATGCGTCCTCGTCGCTTGGGTGCCTGCTTCCGTAGAAGCCTGTTGATGGTGTCCATCTGTGAGTCTCATGTCAGCATCGACTCGAAGTACAGAAAAGCCCACCCCGCTGCAGTTTGCAGAACCCTAGATGGTACGTACCTTCTCCTCCTCATTCCGCTTCTCGCTGAGGTTCTTTCTACGACGAGCCATTTCGGCACGACGCATAGCGCGCTCCTCGGCCGTCAGGTGCTTTTTCACCTGGGGTTCTGCTCTCAGTCAGACTTATGATGCTTTCAATGACCATGCGAAACATGAAGACTCACCCATAGGAAGTTGCAGGAAGTCGTTACCCAGGTTTCCCCTTTGCCGTTTGGTCATCTTGCTCAGATCGGCGGTCGGGGTATCGTCATCGCTGTCCAGGTCGTCATCCTCTTCCTCCTCTTCTCCTTCTAAATCCTCTGCGCCACCATTGGCCATCATACTTTCGTCTTGATCGTCTGGCTCGCCTTCAGCGTCTGACTCCAGCTCCGAGAGCTCCTCATCGTCGTCGTCCTCGTCGTCATCATCCAGTTCCATCTCTTTTGCCTCTACACTTTTGACGGCCTTCCCGCTCGGCGCTGCCGCTGCCGCTGCTTTCGCCTGCCGTTTTGACACTGGTGGCTGCGGCGGCGCATCATCCATGTCTAAATCGCCATCGGCATCTACGTCATCGTCGTCTTCACCTGGCGCATCTTCATCGTCGTCCACCTCATCTTCTTCCTGGTCTTCCAGGTCATCTTCATCGCTTGTGTCCACTTCCACAAGCTTCTTTTTGGGTCTGCTGGTACGAGGACCCGTCACAATGGGATTCTCCGTAAAGACATTAACCGAACGTCTGGTTGATGCACCACTTCGGGTGCTACCACTGGTAACTTCACGAAGTTTGCTGGACGGCATCTTTACTGTCAAATGGATAGACCTATGAGTGGAATTCCCGTGCAACTCAGATGCAACGCGTGAAATGGTCACCGCTGGGGTGGAGACAGCAGCCCGGGCGGCAGCTCTCGTAGATCTGGTGTTCATGTTAGCATCCATGCTCGGCTGGTCATCCCGCCCCAAGCGGGAACGTAGTGAGCGACGCAAAAGCATTGTGGCTGCTAATGAGATCCCCGCGAAATTCTTGATGACAGAGAACGCAATGTGCAATGTAGAGTGCAAAACAGAGATACAATCCCAGCCGCACGAATTTTGGAAATAGATCAACCAGAATAAAATAATAAAGCAGGCGCAAGTAAGATAAACTGTGCGACAGGCAGACAAAGAGGGATCACAGATCAGGAGTGAAGCAAGGTGAAACAAAGGTAGTTCGAAACGGATCAAGAGTGAGGAGCAGAGGTAGTGTTATGGTAAAGCCAGAAAATGGATTGGGAGTAAACTCAAACAGAGTAACAGTGATGAGGGGGGGTTATCTGGCTATTTCCCAGGATGACCCAGTGGATGGTGGAATTGCGGAGGCAGGGAAGAGGGGGGAAGGAGATGAGGGGAGTGAATGAGCGCATCTGGAGGTCAAGAGGGATGGGATCCTCTCGATGGGCAGAAGCAGCGCCAGATTACCATCATCCACCGCTAAGAATGACTACGTGGGCCAGTGTTCAGGATGAGCCATGCACTCCGGAAAGGCACAGGACATCCACCCCTATCGCATCTCTGACAGACGCCACTTGGACATCTCCCCGCGACATGGAGCACGAGGACGGGGCCAATGGGAGCATTTTGAATGCAGATGTTCAGGGCCGATGGGTTTTAAGTCAAGGAAAAAAAGGCGCGGTGAATCCAACGGTGGTGCGGTATCTGGCGCAACCCGGACGGACCTAGGGATTATTCCCTGGACTGACCCAGCAGGGGTTTCCCGATGGTGCGCGGGCAGAATAGATGAGGCCTCGGGGATAATTAATGTAAATAAAAGGGGAAGGGGGGGGAGGGGATGTAATCATCTGTTTTCTGATGTTTCGCAGATGTTGAACAATGTATAGCCAGGCCAGAATAGACCAGAACAAGAACCAGACAAGACCAAACAAGATGAGACGCGACAGGGAAACATGGGCAGAGCAGCGAGGATGTGTCAATGCAATACGAGGGCGACTCACCGAGAGGTGATGGATGCTTTCTCTAGTAGAAAGTAAGTGGTCGTCAATGCAACCCCAAGTGAGACCTGGGCTTGGACGACAGTGGCAGATGTTCTGAGTGGACTGGCAGGCAGAGAAGTACACGTATGTGTCGGTACCTGATCGAGCGACCCAAAACCAGAGCAGAGCAGAGAATGAACCGGTTCGATTGAATGCTTCCTTCAGCAGGAAGAATCCTTGAAGATCCGCGGACTTTCGCCTCTTCTTTGCGGCTTCAGCGGTTCTGCCAGGCGGTCGGTATCCTTGGCCGCCTTTCCCCATCATCCAAGTCTCGCATGCAGGGGATGTCCACCGCAACATTTATGCTCAATTTTATACATAATTCTGGCATTTGGAATACTAGATTGGTTATGATCTATGCTTGCCAGCTACTATCTCTTCTGCCATGTTCAGTTGGTGTGTAGTCTTGTTGTAGACCCTCATACAGTGTCAACTCCCACAGTATCTCCATAGATCGGACAATATATATTGAGTGGAGATACTTACTACTGCTATCTAACAGTACCTCCCGAGAGCAATACCAAGTATACTGGGTTGCTAGTAAACAGTTACATTATTACCACCATAGTATAATAGTATCTCTATCTGACAAGACATCCTCTAGTGTCTCGCCCAGTAATCATAGAGTTCAAGTTTCACCACAATTAGCCTTGGTGGCCCTAACCTCATCCAAACTTACATCTCCCCCAAAAGTACCTGTCGTACCGCCCCCATACACACCACCAATACAGCCGAGGTCGGGGCAACCCAAACTCTCTCTCCTCACTTTATCTTCCCTCACATGGGTATCCATCGCTATCTCCTCAGTCAACTTACTCCTTCCACTCGCCTTCTCCTCCTTCCCCCAATAACAACTCCTCTCACAGACCATGGCGGACTCTAAGCCCAAGCCATCCTCAATCCCTCCATGGCAGCAGTCTAACAACGCCTCCAACACTGACAACTCCTCCGAGTCTACCTCGTCGCCGACCTCCGACGACACCTCCCGGTCAACTCTCATCGAACAAGCTTCCAAGTTCCTCGAGGATGAGTCCATTCGTGACGCCCCCACCGATCGCAAAGTGTCATTCTTGCAAAGTAAGGGCCTCCGAGAGGACGAGATCAACTCCCTCCTAGGCATATCAGCGACCTCCACGGCGAGCGATACAACCGAGGAAGAGAAGGCCGCTTCCCCGGACACCACTACTCCCAGCAGCACCGAACCAGCACCAGCACCAGAACCAACAGACAATGCCTCAGCATCATCAAACCAATCCACGCCCTCATCCTCAATCACCACACCTACCCCATCACCATCAACCACAACCCCCAAAACCAATAATACCCGCGACGTTCCCCCCATAATCACATACCCCGAATTCCTCTCCACGCCAACCAAACCACCCCCACTTGTAACCCTCCGCAGCGTCCTCTACACCCTCTACGGTGCAGCCGGCATAAGCGCCAGCTTCTACGGCGCAAGCGAATACCTCATCAAACCCATGCTCTCGAACCTGACAAGCGCGCGACAAGAGTTAGCCTCCACAGCGACAAGCAACCTCCAAAAGCTGAACGAGAAGCTCGAGCAAAACGTCTCCGTAATCCCAGAAAGCCTTAAGAATAAGACCGCGAACGTCGAAAACGACTCATCCTCCACGGACACCGAGTCCATCACCTCCGACCCAACGGAGCTCTTCCACCGCGACGTTGCCACCCAAACAGCCACCTCGGACTTCGCCGCAACTTACAACAACAGCAACAAAACGGGCACAGACAAAGACACGCCCGCAGACCCCACCGCAGCGGTAACCGACCACCTCAAACGCCTCGAAAGCATCCGTTCCCAGCTCCGCGAATGCTCCGACACGGAGAAGGAGTCCGGCACGCTGGAAAGTGGGATGCGCACGCGCTTGAACGAACTGCACCATTACCTGGATGGGTTGATTTATAGTAAACCTGGGTTTAACCCGCTCTCTGGGTATGGGATGTACAGTACGCCTGGGATCGATTCGGGGAGTGGAGCGGCAACAGGGGTGGGGAAGGGCGAGGAGGATGCCATTGCGAACTTTAGGGCGGAGATTAGAGGTGTGAAGGGGGCGTTGCTGAGCGCGAGGAATTTCCCTGCAGGTCGTGGGGGGAGGATCGGGGGTGTGGCGGGGAGGTAAGATGATATACTATTAGGTTTTTAGTAGTATTTGAGATATGATTATGGATGGATGCTGTATATATATAGCAAAGTATACCAATGTTTCGTTGTAAAAAATAGTACTTATCAGGCTTGCACTGTAACTCTCGTTCTAGTATCGCACTATCGACACACATACTTAACGTAGTATTCCTACAGGATTAATGCGCATGAATAGAGTAGTCAACGGTATAGGCTCCGCAAGGCCCAAGAAAGAAAGATACAAGCACAGTCCTACGACTTTTCGATACTATCAATAATAGAATAAACATAGTAAGAACATTGACATTGAAGGAACAATTCGCAAACAGCCCAACCAAGGCAAAACGGGACTGGACAATGAGCAGTACAGTGAAGCATAATAAAAAGAGGACTCGTCTTTCCTTTACATACAACTCATAATCGTTCTTTCTTTGTTTTACTTCCTTTTCCTGTCATAGCCTCTTAATGTGAACCTTGACTTGGATTTACGGGGTGGCGCGGCTCATGCTGATGAGACGCTTCACACCAACCTGTTGATAGCTTATTAGTATGGATATAGTGCACTAGAAAGGTAGAGATACTCACCATCCAGTTGCCGCACTCGTCCAGTCTGTTGGTCATGATGTCGACGTGGATCGTCCGAGCCGTCTCGTAGTCACGAGCCTGGATGGCGCGAGCCAGCTCCGCCATATCCGCAATCGTGTTGGGCTTGAGCAGATCCTCGTTATTGAGGTGGTCGAACAGGATGTTCAACCGCCGTTCGGCATCATCGACCTGTGCCTTGAACGAAGACGGAGCCCGAGACTTCACGCGCTGCATGTCTGCGGAGAGGATCTCATAGACAGGCATGGCGTCGGCCGGGATGTGGGAACGGTCACCAGGGGCTGTGAGAAGTCAGAAACAGAGACCACCACAAGGTATAGGGGATCACTTACGGTACTTAGGCGGGGCAGGTGCGGGCTTCTTCTGCGAGGAAGCCGTGCTTGGCCGGGATCCCGGGGCGGCCTGAGGCGGAGGGGCTTGTTGCGGCGGGGGCTGCACGTGTGGCGGAGGAGTGCTCGGGACATAGTGGCCCGCGGCCGGAGGTTGAGGGGCATACGGAGAAGCAGCTGCCTGCGGGGGCGGAGGGACAGGTGCCCGAGTCTGCAGTTGCGGGCTTGCAGCCTGAGCGGCTGGGCTAGGAGCATACCTGTTGGGAGGCGGGGGCATGGTAGGCGGCGCATTGTATGGAGAGGGTCCCCGAGGAATGGATGCTGGGACTCCCATGGTAGATGCCATAGGAGGAGACTGGGGCAAGGAGGCGTAAGGGTTGGCCGGTGGAGGGGGCATCGTAGTCGAAGCCGGCTGCGCGGCAGGTGGCGAGGTCATCCGTGGGGGAGGAGCAGTGCCCTTCGGCGGAGGGGGAACTGAGGGTGCTCGCTGACCTGCTGGTGGCGGAGGTCCCTGTGTGAGAGTGGGGGACTGGTTGGGGAAAGGAGACGCGACCGTCGCAGCGGCAGGGGTGGACCTGCGTGGTGTAGGAGCTTTGGCAAACCCTTCTGGCAGGTCATTCCATGCGGGCAGATTCGTGGCAGTGGTGTAGGTAGTCACGGTAGGGGCAGGAGACTGGTTGGATGCACGCGGAGGCGGGGGCACACCACCGCCTAGGGGCTGAGCACCGTAAGCAGGTGCCTTGGGCGGCTGATATCCTGCAGGGGTGTAGCTGCTACCGCCAGCTGGGGGCGCATATGGGTTGACAGGCTGCGCCGGCGCGGAAGCGGTAGATGGGGCATAAGGGTTGGTAGCGGTAGTCGGAGGAGCATAGGCGTTGGCAGCCGCGGCAGCTGGAGCGTAAGGGCTGGGAACAGCAGCTGGCGTAGCCGGTGAGTAGGCTCTCTGAGGCTGGAATGCGTTAGGTTGGGGGAGAGGCTTGTTGAGGGCGGCCCTGGTCACGGTAGCGGCAGCGGGCTGCGTTCTTTGAGGGGTTGCCTGTCTCGTAGCCAACTTGATACGGTTCCGTGCAATCTCAGCCTCAGGGTGCTTCTCCGGCACGAGGTCGAGATACTTCTGCGCAACCTGCAGGCGTCCGTGTGTGGCAACAACGTCGGCATACTCGATGTACTTGTCGTACAGCGTGCTGAGCTTCCAGTCCGACTCCTTGGTGCGTTCGGTATCTTCGAACTTGGTGACCTGGCGGAAGATGGTCACCTTCTCAATGAGCCCCTGCAAAGCACGGACGTGAATCGAGAAAGCAGAGTCATCAGCGGCGGTCTCGATAGCCTTCTGCTCGTGCTCACGCAGCTCCTCGATCCAGATCGCAACGACCTTCTCTAATTTGGAGCCGGCCAGGAAACAGAACGAAGCATCCTTGCGCATACCCTTGTCCTCGTTGTTGCGGAGTTCTTCCTCCAGTCGGTCACCGAGAGCCTCGCAAAGGTCAGCGAAATCCTTCTCGTCAGCGAAGGTGCAGAGGGCCGCCATGACCTCCTTCCAGTTAGACAAGTCGGCGTTGTAAACGACGTCCCAGAGGTTCTTGCCGACAATGGAAGCCAGCAAGCGAACGTAGTTGGGGCTATTGGTTTGCTTCTGGAAATAGTGCTCCTGGGCCTTCTCAATGCACTTAGGGCCGCCGCAGATGGCGATCATGAAGGCATCAGAGAGGCGATCTTCCTTGAGGGCAACGTCAAGAGCCTTCTCAAAGTCACCGAGGAGCAACGCGCGGGTAATGCCCGTGTCTGCTTCATTCTCCGAACCGTTGAAGATGTGGAAGGGGTTATTGGTCTTGGCTCCCTTGGAGGCAGCCAAATCGGACAAGAAACTGTCCGCCTCGGGGTTGGCATCAAACATCGACTGCAGGCGCCTGTGCTTCTTGGCTCCCGACCCGCGGGATTCCTTCGCCACCTCCCCGTTGACTTCCTCCTCCTTGTCCAGACCGAGCTTAGACAGGCTATCCGCAGCCTCGTCTGCTTGGTCAGCGAAGCCAAGGTATTCAACCAGTCCCTTGCGGGGGTCCTTAGAGATCAGGGCTTCAATGACCTTCCAGTCAGCCTTCTCCTCATCGGAGCCAGCGTTAGCCGCTCTGCTTTCGCAGATGCTGCGCAGATCGCCCTCCTTGAGTGCGGTCTCGAAGGTCTCAGTCGACTTCCCAACAGCTTCATCAACCTCGAACGGGGTGATCTTGATCTTGGATGCACGCTGTCCCTTCTCAACCAGGTTGACCGAGACGACTCTGCCACCGAAACCAAAGGTGGCGCTGCAGGGCCTCTCGAGCCACTTGGGGGGCTTCGGCAACGAGAAGCTCGAGACCTGAGGCTGAGTCTGCGCCTTGGCAAAGAAGTCCTCGCCATCCAGAGCCTGATTCTGATCAGCGATGGCCTGCGCGGTTTCGGTGCTAGTGTTCTGGATGGTCTGGATAGAGATCTTTCCATCGAAGGACGCGGTAGCGAAGAAGTTAGGGTTGTGCGGGTTCCAGCGGGTCTGGAAGGTCCAGTTGGTGACGACGGGGAATTCGCCATAGGCGTGGCCGGTTTGCGGGTTCCAGCACATCGTACGGTTATCTTTTCCGGAGGAGAGGAGCAGATCGGGATCCTGGGCACACCAGGAGAGCGACAACACACCAGACTCATGGCCGCGGAGGGTCCTCTCTGGAGCGTGCGAATTACGGAGATCCCAGACACAGATCAGGGGATCGGACTCGAGAGGGGTCGCAGTGACAAGTTTCGTAGGCTGCGCTGCGTTAGCCCAAATTAGGAAGCTTAAGGGATGTTCGTGAACGCCTCACCTTCTCCGGATCCCAGGCCACAGCGCTAACTGCCTTCCGGCCCATGTTGTTAAGAGTCAAGCTCTCCTTCTTTGTCTTGACATCCCACACAGTAACAAAGCCTGCACTGCTACCTGTGACCAGGATGTGTGCAACTTTCTTGTTCCAGTCCAAGCATTCGATGTCGTCCGCGCGGGCCGCCGTGCCTCCGAGTCGGTATGGGTTTGCGATATTGTCCAGGTCGGAAATGTAGAGCTGTCCGATCATGAGCCTGATTGTCTAGACGTCTCTCCATCATATGTAGCCTACCTCGCCCTTTGCACCACCGGTTGCCAGCAAGTTCGAGTGTTTGGGGTTGAACTGGAGAGCCTTGACAGCCCCTGAGTGTTTGGACGTTCTCGAGATCACAGCATCACTTCGTAATCGTCAGCCAATTGTACAGCCCCGGTATATAGCACACTCGCCAACTCACTCGGAACCATTAAGCAGCTTATCGGCATCCCACAGATCCAACGAGCCGTTCTCCAGAGCACCGGCTATCACACCCCGCGAGTTATCTTCGGATTCCGTCCACGCTAGGTCATTGAAGCTATCGGAGCGATATAGTTAGCACGCCGGCCTCCCTTATACGGCAGAATGCAGTGTAGATGCAAGGCTTTATTTACCCGGAATCCGTATCAATCTTAGCTACCGGCTGTAGCTCTCCGCCGGTTTCATGGCGGCTAAGTGCCAGATCCCAGAGCTCCAGACATGTCTGATTGGAGAAGTCGACGTCAACAGCACCGGCCCGAGTACCGGTAGCAATCAAAGGCGACGCAGCCCCGGGGGACCAGGCGAAAGTGGCCGTCCGGGGAATCTCCCTCAGACGCACCATGGTGAGAAGTAAAGGAGCGGCGGGAAAAGGAAAGGGTATAGATTAGGAGAGTTAGGACCAGACACGAATTAGAAGGGTCTGGCACCAAAGGTCATAGACAGAAGGTGGAGAAGCAACACTAGGAGCGGGAGAACCAGAAACACGAGCAGAGAAACAACCCAAGAAAGAAACCTCCCCTCTCTATAGGAGAACCGAGGGGTGCATGTACGGTGAGTTGCCAAGTATGCGATCGAGGGCGTCACTGCAATCAACCAAGTGTCCTCCTGGAGGCGCTCGGGGGGGCTGCTGGCCCCTAAACCGCTTTGGGCCCTCGCCAAAACACCCACCCCGGAGGCACCACGTGATATCAGGTTGCTCCGTCCCAAAGTCTAGAGCTTTGCCTAGGCTTTCAGCACAAAGGCCCCGACGCGGTCGCTCTTTCTCTCCCCCTCCTCTCAGTGACGTCTTCCATCCTAGCCCATTTCGGAGATTTGCTACGACCGACCATGAGCGAGAAAGCACGCTTAAAATGTACCGTCTACGTGGGGGGTCTTGACCAGGCCGTGACGATGCAGACGCTGGCCGAAGCATTCGTTCCCTTTGGTGAAGTGGTCGATATTACGCTCCCCAAACCCGACCTTCCGAACTCCAACGAGCTCCACCGCGGTTTTGGATATGTGGAGTTTGATCTGCCCGAGGATGCAAAAGAGGCGATCGACAATATGGATGGAAGCGAACTATATGGCCGGACAATCAAGGTTGCTGCTGCTAAGCCGCAGAAGGACAGCAACGAAGGACTCGGCAGCAAGACAGCTATCTGGGAACAGGTACGCCATGACGTTCATCTTGTCATTATAGATCATTTGCTAATTACGTATGAAACAATAGGAGGGGTACTTGGCCAAATATGCCGTCGACGAGGAAGACAAATTGGCTGCCGAGGGAGGCGAGACCGATGGAGCCGAACGTCAAGATCCCATGCAAGGACTCGAGGAACTGGACGTGGCGGGACCCAAGCCGGAATGAGCTCTACGATAAAATCCACTCACGCCAGGGGAAACTGGCGAAACGAAGATAAAAGAGAAGCCAAGAAGCGGGCGACAGTAATATTGCGATATTACACCATCAGGAACCCTTCGTTTAAAGCCGTACTATTTACACGCGCTCCAACCCTGAGCCTGAGAATTTTCGAGCATTCCATTCTTATCTCTGGCCACGCGACAAGGCCTGACTACCCCGTGAATGATACAGATCGCCGAAAAATCAAACAAAGAATCGCCCATTGCAATTTGAAATCAAATGTGATGGTACATTCTTAGTGCTCGCGGTCCTCGGGGCTGTTGCGGTACAGACGGAGGGTCTTGTCGGTCATGAGCTTGCGGGTGCTGGAGTAGATGGCAGCACCGACGGCGACACTGCGATGGAACTGCGTCAGTGGAGGGCAGATGAAGACTGCGGGAGTGGGAGGGGAGAGGAGGGTAGGAGGAGGCGGTCGGGATTAGATTTCACGGCATGTCATGTAGAAGCCAAAGGATATCAGGAAATAAACATACCCAAGGACCAGACCTGTAGGATTCAAGAAACAATCGTTAGCTCTGCTGTAAACCAATGGCAAGGCGTTAATCATTGAACCGCGACGTACCGAGAGGGATCAACTCCGGGGGAACTCTCTTCAGAGTGCGCAGACGCTGAGAGATAGTGTGGGCTAGAAGCCAGGCGTTAGTCCAATTCCCACCTCCAACAACACAGTTCCATCAATCAAGTATCCGTCCTATGCGCAAACCGGGGAGGGAACCCCATACCGCTCTGGTTTTCCTTCTGTAGCCACTTGTTAGCCACCCTGCCACACGTAATTTTTCCCCAACTTCCACGCCAGCACGGGGGACCGGGAGCCAACTCACAGGAGTAGGAAAAGCGAAAGGCCGGGAGGCCTGCATGCGCAGAACACGAGTAGGGAACATGGCGAATGGCTTTGAGTGGACGGGGGTTGAGGTTGAGTATCAGAACGACTTGAGTGGTGGGATGGCAAGATCGGAAGTGGTGACGGAAGTCTGAGCTTGATGGAAGGGGAGGTTGCACCACTTAGGTAAG